CTCAGCAAGCACCAAAGACTCTAAATGTTCATAAATACAGATAGCCCTCCACTTATGACCATAATGGAGGCCAAAGTTTCTGTTGTTAAGTGAGACATTTGTTAAGTGAGTTTGGCCAAATTTTCTTGCCGCATTTTATTAAGCGAATTGCTGCACGTTATTAAGTTTGTCACACGGTCGCTAAGCAGAACAAAAGCTAACCAAGGGCCTCGATGAGAATCTTACAGCAATTTTTATAGTCAAGGGGTGGTTGCATTCAATCTTGGTCCTTCCCCTAGTATTGCATGCATAACAGATAATATTGATTGGTTATTTGGATCTCAGCCCCCTACATAGCTAAATGTCACATCACCTGTGTTTCACCCCAGCTCACAGGTATCTTACAAAGTATCCTCGTTTCATGTGCCAGCTATGTGGTTTGGGGTTTTTTTTCTTATAAGCAAGCTATTCTTATTCCTAATATCCTGGCTAGTGGTTTAAGGTGCTAACTTCTGCCTCGCTAAGAATGTGCGGTTCCAACCCCTTTCCTATTGCAGAGCAACTCAAAGCAGCACCTCCACTCCCTGTGACCCCCCGCTCCTTCCACAGAGAAAAGTAAAAGCAGTTTTAACTTTGTCTGAGGCAGCACTCCCACTCCCCCCAAGGCCCCCCTCCTTCTGCAGAGAGAGAGAAGACAGGAAGGAGCCAGGCTGCCCAAGGCAAAGAAATGAAGACAAGAGAAAATGTTTTTTATCAGAATTCATATTCCTCACTCTCATGTCCATTCCATCCACACCTGGGTCCTATCTCCACAAATGACCCTTCCCCTGATCCTCAGGGCCTCCACTGTACATACATCCCATCATCTGATCCTTCACTGCAACGGTCGTAACTGTGAAAAAAAAAGTTATAACTCTCCTTTTTCAATGCTGTTGTAGCTTCAAATGGACACTAAGTACAGGTAGCTGAGTACATTGCACATTGTCCCCTGCAATTAGCAATGATTTGTTTCTGTAGAAACAGCAGCGCATTATAATTCTGCTGAGTCTACACTTTAAACCCACATATCCTCCATCCACTGGCCGATCGAGTGAGGAACGATGCAAGTTGAAGGCCACACCATCTGAGAACAACGCAGAAGGAAGCATCTCCCCCAAAACATTATTATCTGAGATATAAGTTTGCTTCTCGATACATAGGAACTTCTGAATATTTTCCAGACTTCCTAACAAAAGAAACCTTGTCTCTCGGTGGCTGCAAGATCGTCATTCGTGGTTAAACCTTCCATTTTGAGGACGTATCCCTTTGTACGCCTCTTGGAACTGAACAGGCGTGTTTCGTGGAAGGCAGGAGGTTCTCTTTCTGCTTTCAAGCTGAGATTTTATTTATTTATTTCGTCAAACCCTTACAATACAATAGAAATAAGAATAAACATAAGTTTAAATATAACAAAATTAGGAACTAATAAATGGGGACAACAGGACAGGGACGGCAGGCATGATGGTGCACTTATGCACGCCCCTTACACGCCCTCTTAGGAATGGAGTGAGGTCACTAGAGGTTAGTTGGAGGATAAAGGAGTGGGGGTTTGAGCAGGTGACAACAGAATCAGGTAGTGAGTTCCAGGCATTGACCACTCTGGGGCTGAAATCTTCTGCAATCTGTACTTCCTGCAATCAATCTTGGAGTGGTTTACATTTAGTTTACATCTGTTGTGTGCTCTTGTTTTGGGTGCCTCTTTTTCTCTGGAATCCATCAGCCTCCAAATCATATCATTTGAGCACGGAAAGATGAACAAGTGGAAATGAAACAATTGCTCTTCTGTCCCAAAGGTGATTTTCTTTTTTTTTCAAGAGGCAACTGGACCTGTTTTTCTTTGAGGGCGTTTCGCTTCTCGCCCCAAAAGCTTCTTCAGCTCTGACTGGATGATGAGGAATGGAAAGATTTATACTCCTTGCAGACAGCTGGTCATTTGCATCCTTTCTGAGGGTCGTTGAGGCCACTTGGAGGTTTATCTCTGTCCTCAGGGTCACCTGAGTGGTGCAAATGGTTCTTGTAGTCTGCAGTTTTTTCCTCTCTGGAAATCCATTCCTGCTCCCACCCCATTCCAAGGGTCTTCATCCCAAATTGCAGAGTTAAAAGTCTGTAGAGATTCTCAGTCATCCAGGTCACGGTTGTCCCAAAGGTGCTCTTTCTTTCTTTCTTTCTTTCTTTCTTTCTTTCTTTCTTTCTTTCT